TGGTGGTTGAATAAAGGCCTGAAGGTCACTCTTTATGTGAATTTGGGTTTTACAAGATAAGCAAACGGGCAGAAAAAAGAAATTTGCTCACAGCCAGACATAGTGGTTTGCTTCTGCAAATGCTTAAAATACCTATATCTGTCCTTGCATGTGTTCAATCGTTATCCTGCTGGAAAAATTCAACTGTAAGGCTGAGGTCTTTTCAAACTCCAAACTCGCTCTGAACTCAGTTTTGCCCTCAATATTGGCTGCTGTGTTTCTCCTTTTATTCCTTCCTCTGTCAACTCCATGCTATACAGTAGGGATGGTGTCATGTGGGTATTGAATTGTTCCCGGAATCTGCCAGACATAACGCTGCACACAACAAATGAAAAAGTTCATTTTCTGTTTAATCAAAATTTTCACGAGTCTGCCTGCAAACTCTGGGGGCCCACACGCACAAAAACAATGCAGACACTGCTTTCTGCAGCTTTGTGGGATCTGACAATGCGTCCAACAGTAGGAAAATGTCAGAAGAGGGGGTCCGAACACATTTTGTGGTGAGGTTTAATCTTTTCACAGCACAACTATTTCTTTTTCTTTCCATCACATAAAACAGCAGGACAGTCTCCTCTCTCAGCCTTTTATTTGGAATTCTTTACTACCTGTAGGCACCTGTGCAACCGTGATGATTGTTTGATCGTGGCTGTAGTTCGTTTTACTAAATCGACCTTAACACGCAAGTCTGTCTCTCACTTATTTGACATTTCCAGCCTGTCTGCGGACTGCATGTGTACAGCAGATCGTCACAAAGAGGTCCCAGTCCCGCAGCATCGCTGGCTACATCCATAGTGAGCCAAATTGAAATCAAAAGCAGAACCAAACACATGCACGATACAAATGCTCCATATAAACCTAAGATCTCACTACAATGGTAGGAAAAAAACTGGGATTATGATTCAAAAAAATAAAAATCAACAACTAGAATGTCTCTCACATCATATTTCTGCATTATTGTTCTCCGTGTGTCTATGTGGGTTCTCTCCGGATACACCGGCTTCCTCCCACCGTCCAAAGACATACAGTTAGTGGGGTTAGGTTAACTGGTGATTCTAAATTGTCCGAATGTGTGAGAGTGAATGGTTGTATATCTGTGTTAGATTTGCGACTGCCGACCTGTCCAGGGTGTAGACTGCTTCTCACCCTATGGCAGCTGGGATAGTCTCCAACCCACCTGCAAACCTGAATTGTAGAAGAGGATGGATGGATGGATGGATGGATGGATGGATGGATGGATGGATGGATGGATGGACGCTGTCATCTTCACTGCGAAAGAACTGAGCAATGTGTGCAGTGAGAGGCTACACGCTCTGCTAAAATCATAAAGCCTGCATAAAAGTCCAGCCACAGTAAAATAACACAGGTTGCCAACCTCCTTGTGACCAACTACAAATAGCTGCCACAACTGGTTGTCCAGAGGTTGAATGTGCAGCACCTTCAATCACAAAGTGACTGCACAGGTGGTTCCCAGCGAGGCAGTTCTGACTTAAACAGGCAGCATTTAATTGTAAATAATTTTATTTGCCATTAAATCTGTAAACACTCAACACAAACACTGGAATCAATCTGAGTCAGTCCGTTCCAATGAGCGTAACAGCTCGTTAGACCAGTGGACTCAACTGGTTGCCATCTGGTTGTATCCTGGTTATATTCCTATATAAAAGCAGGGTTGCCTACATCACTTTGCAGTAAAATCTCCATCTTGCAGAAACTACGTCACTATTTGTGGAGGAGTTTCTAAATCTAGGTTCTGGTTGAAGTGTGAATGTGAGGAGCTGATGCCAGCTTTTGCTTCTGTTGACAGCAACAGAACTGTAATCTTCACCGATTTGTCACTAACGGATTGCATTCAATCCCCAGCTTGACCCACTTACATCACAATCTGACTGATAAACAGACCGACAGGCAATAGACTACGTGCACGTTAGCATATGCTACTTCCGGTGCGGAAACTCCTGTAGGGAGCTTTGTTTCCGGTGTCCTATTTGCGCCTGGTTTATGGTCCAAAACAAGTTAAGCAAATGAATGAATCAAGCGGCGATTTACATTTCTATAGATGTCTTGGGCATTTACCCAATATATCTGTAAATGATGTTCATCAACTTGTCAATATTTTTTCCTGCGCCTCAGGGGAAAAGAGAAAATGGATTCAAATGTTATATTTCTCAGCTGTCCCTCGTTTAGCGCGGGTGTTATGTTCTAAAAATAACCAGCGATAGGTGAAATCAAGTAGCCAATTTTATTTTTTGATGGTGCAAAACGTTTCGTGGACATCGTGTTTGACTCTGCACTTCAGAGTCACACTGCCAGCGATCGATGCAGCGATTCTGTACTGTACAGGAGAGACGTCACGGAGGAGATCGTCTGCAGCGATCAGGACGCAGGACACAACGTGACGTAAAAAAAATAAGCATGCAAACTTGCACTAAAAAATCTGCGAAACAGCGAGGTGAAAGGTGAACCGCGTTATAGTGAGGGACCACTGTAATTTTTAAGGTAAGTCACAACATACCCTTCGTACATACTAATGTATAGAAACCGTTACCAGCAATCATTCATTTTTTGTGTGGCTTTTTTTTCACGGTTTGTTAACATGCTGTGTAGGTGTGTACTTGACTAGCTGATATCAACATAACGGGGAAACATCTGGTTTGACTATTCTTCACCTGTAGTTTGAATGCTGAACATTTGCCTGTTTAAATCATGAGACCAGTCACTATACAGAGATGTGCTTCTGAATGTGGACGATGTGTCTTCTGCTGCAGTGATGCAGTTCTGCTTGTGTTGAGTGATGTAAACAACTGATCGATCTAAACTCCTTAAACGTCAAAATTGATCATTCGATTTTTTATGACACAACAGTGGTGAGTGTTCCCACCTTCTGCTCTTTGTAACTTAACGCGATCTTTCCGTTTTCGAGTTTTGGACATGATTTTGGAGTATATCTTCGCAGTAGCAATTGACCGCAAAGTAAAGCTACCGGAAATGTACAACCCCACATCCGGTCTCAAACCAGGAAGTTAGCATTTTCTCGTACACAGGGTCAATAAGATCACAAGTTCACTGCACACAGTCGCTGTAATTCTGATCATGCTGCAATCACCAACCACTGTTTTCTCTGGTGTGACTGTAGCATTAGATGGACACTGAGATTACTAGTTTCAAGCCATATAAAATGTTTGTATAATACCCACTCGAGTTTTTTGGGTTGAGCAGACTTTGTGATTAAACCATACCATAACATATGCAGTGTCCTTGTTCCTCACTTTTGATTGTAAAATACTGAGAAGATGGCATTTATATTCAAAAACTGTTCTCATGTCCATCTTTTATATACAGCCTAAGGCTAAAATTCTCACGCTACACAAGTGTGAGTTTATTTTGCATCAAGTACAAGATGCAAGACGTATGCAAATTGACACCCAGCCTAACTGCTGGGCTGAGCTAAGATCTAAACTTTGATCTCCTGCAAAGAGCCACATAACCACCACAGCCTCCACATCTGTACTTTCTGCCTTACTAAATAAAAGGCACACTGCTTCCTACATCGGTACTGAAAGTTGGTATTGAACATAAATCATGTGGCTGCAGAACTGTCAAATATAAATGTAATTTCAGGGGATACTGAGCTGCTATTTCAGGATATTAAGAAAAGATTGTGGTACCATGTTGCCAGTTTCACATATATAGAGACATTTAGTCATCCTTAAGGTCTCTGTTCTGGCTAAACTTTACGTTTAGGAGCCCCTTCCTTGTCTCTGTCATTTAGATCTAATTTCCAAAGTGCTGCAGTGGTGATTGTTCCCTCCGTTACAGCCAAAGAATAGAGTCAGTCTGCAGGAGTCATATTTTTGGTTTTCAGTAGCCTCCCTGGCCCTGGACCTGCTTGTCCACAATAGATGTTCAGTTTATTCAGAAAGGAAAACTCTGTTCATACACGTCTATCTGTTAATGATGAAGCCCTGCAACTCGCAGGCACATAATGAGCACACAGACGTGGCCTTTCTACACGTTTCAGATCGACAGTACGTCTGAAGCGTGCCGCAAGAATGCGCGCGCATTTATCTGCCCGTCCGCTCGCACGCTTTGCCAGCGCACCTCCAAGTAATGGCCGTTGCCACAGTAACCAGGTGACCCACGCTAGCAATTAGAGAGTCCCTAACAGGCTCGGTGCCGGCAAGTGCACACAGATGCGGCGCATACATTATGTAAACTACAGTCCCCGCGAAAGTCTCCCTCACCTGCCTCAGCCAACAGCAGCCCCGCTCGCGCTTTTAATTTAATACGTCCTTAACATCGGCAAAAAAAGAGAAGAAAAAAACCCACATCCATCACGAGGAAGCCACACGACACAGCACATCTGTGGCGTGCCTCCAAACCGGGGACATTAGGTGGGTATTACAAAAGGTGGGTGCAGGGGGGGAAGTAGATAGAGGGAGAGATGGAGAAAAAGAAAAAGGGAGAGAGAACTTTTAACTTAAAACTCACCCGCTTCATATTTGTGGGGTTTTCTGTCTTTATTTCCTATTCATGGCGGAGAGGGAGGGAAAAAATAAAAACTCCCACTGTGCTTTTATGAACGTGGCGGCACAGCGGTGAGTATGGGCTTTAAACATGATTGGCTTGTTAAAGTAGAAGGAATAGGGGCAGAATATATGTGGTGCTGATGGTTGTAAAAGTCAAACTTGCACACCTGGTTTAAAGGCCTTTTCACAGATTTATGAGAACGTGTCAGCTTTTTTCTTTTCTTTTCTTTTTTTTTTTTTTTAACTCGGCCAAAAGAATACATGAGTTATTCTTTCTGTTGCCTTGGCACCTCAACTGTGTTGAACACTGACCATGGAAAAATTTCCGAGTACAACTCCCGATCCCTTTGTTATTGAAGCAAAACGAGTATGCGCAGCGGAAACGCGCTTTTCGGATGCTTCAAAGTGAGAGGAGACAGTAACAAAGTTGCTTACCGCAGAGTTTGTTCTGGTGCAGGAACTCCATCTGCAGCTTCTGGCCAGCGCGCTGAGCCAAGAGGTACGGGGTGGAGTAGGTTGGATCCCCGGTGGCGCACATAACATCTGCCCCGCTGAACACGAGCGCCATGGTCTGCAGCACATCAGAGGACACCACAGCTGCACACAGCGCCTTCACACATAAAAGAAGATACAAGGGCCCGTGATGAGCTTATTTGCGAGTTTCGCTCACATTTTATTTGCAGTTTCGGCGTGTTTGTGAATCAGATTCCCGAGGCTCATTTTTAGTGGTCACAAATCTCATTTATGGACGTCCACCTGCCACTTGCCATTTCCTGCTGTGATAGCCTAATAAAAGACTGAAGAAGTGGAGCAGCAGCTCATTGGATTTCTAAGTAGCTTTCTGTAGCTGGATTAATGCCTTAAAAAAAAAACAGACATAGAGACAGTGAAAAAAAATCTCTGGAAATGTAAGTATGGCTTCACTTCTCTGTGTAGGAGGAGCAGTGTGGTGTTGCTGCGTACGTGTATGCGCGATTGCCAGGTTGATAGAGGACAAAGAGTCTATAAAGCGGCGTCAGAAAACCACATAAAGTTACGAATTGAGTTCCACCCGCTGATCTCAAAAGAGAAGTTAAAATGCGATCAAACTTTAATACTCCCAGTGGGAATCATTAAAGCTCAAAACCCTGAGCTAAAAAAAAAGGAATATAGCAAATAAGAAGAGGACAAATGGGCCATATTAAATATAATGAAACTAACAATTTTCACAAAGAGAAATGTGGGAATAAAGACATGAAACACAATGAAGTGAGCTAAAAGTACAAAAGAACAGCAGCAGGCTGCGATGAAGCAAGATAGAGTGAATTTCCTGCAGGAAAACAAACCAAGCATGGAAAATATATATATATATATTTTTGATATATATATATATATATATGAATCAGAAGCTGATAAATACAACCATGTAATCTGTGCATGGATAAACAGAGCATGTATTAAACGTTCAGGATGAGCCTAAACAAAGAGTGCAGTGTGCAGACGGGTAATAATTAAAGGAAAATCCTTGACCCCTCCTCTGAGGAAGATCTGATGCTGTGTTTGAGCACCCTCGATGCCCTCCTTTAGAGTGAGGGTCAGCGCGAATCAATACACCGTTGTTCCGGGTGATCACCTTGATCCTCTGATGAACCTTTTCTATCCTGTTGGAAATGGTCTTTTTCAGGACTCATCGAGGGGACACAAGAGGTTTCCGAATAGTTTGGTAAGTATGAAAATGATGTCACGGCTTTCTGAGTCACCAGAACTCAACACACATGAGAGCTTTCCATCACTATCAAAATGACACATAAGGAGTATCCTTTGGAGGAAAGGTGTCTCATCACTCCAGCAACGCAAGAGAGACCTAAAGAATCAATGCCAAGGCAGACTGAAGCGATTCTGGTGGAACAGAGTGAGGTTGGTTTTTCCATTAATTTTATACATTTGTACGCCTCCACCAGTCACTATGAAACTTCAATAATGAGCAGGGTTCTCCAACTAAGAGGCACAAAGCTACTGCAGAGGAAAACTAGAAAGAAGGAAGGAAGGAAGGAAGGAAGGAAGGATGGATGGATGGATGGATGGATGGATGGATGGACGGACAGACAACCAAAGAAGAGTTTACTGATGCCAACATTCTGTTTCTTATTCATCCAACATTCACCTTGTATACTGTTCCAGTGTACCATCACTGACTGAAACTGTGGGGTGTGTGGCATAAAAACAAAAGAGAAAAATGCAACATGAAATTCTATTTATTTCTACCGAAAACTTTTTTTGATTTTAGTCAAGAAATAGATTTAAAAAGAAAAAGAAATTAAATGCAGCCTCTCAGTTCAGCCGCAACGTTTTTAGCTCCTCCCCTTTTAAAGCCACTCGCTTCTTTAAGCAGACCTTTTTCTGATTGGCTGAATAAAAATCCCCCCAACAGTTATTATAGATGTTAACCTGGCTACTGCACATGTTAATGCCACTTAGCTACTAGTAAGTAGCTTGTAGCCACCTTAGCCGCCACATTAATCAAAATATGTTGCAAAGTCACCAGAAGTGCAGCACAACAGACAACCTAACCATGTTGTGTCATTTGGAGGTTTTTTGCACTACCTATGAGAATCTTAAATGAATAATATTTGGAAGAGTTTTAAGCTGCTAAACCACTCCTCACAAAACGCCAAAGGGATTTGTGTCTCGCTGGCCAAGCCAATGTGTAAACGACTACACTATACACAACAGAAAAACAGTGTTTTTGTTCTTTGCTTTATAAGAATAAAATGCATATAAACATAACCCTGTTTCATAACAATACAAAGCAGGGCCATTATATCAAAGACATATTTCCTACTTCGATGCAGAGAAACCGTAGCTGCACTGGCTCAATTACACTCAAGTAATACCTCAAGTTGGGATAGTGAGTCAGTGTAGCATCCAGTCAGGCCCTGGTCAAGCATGAGAAGCAGTAGTACTGCTGCCCAGATATTTTCGTATATAGACCATGACTGTGACTTCTTGTCAACCCTGTTGAACGACAGGCAGAGAATGAACAAAAGAGTAAATGCGACGATAGCTGGAGGCTTTTGACAAGCGACCACTCGAGAGAATATTATTAGGAGAGCCAGCCAGCTGGGCTTCCTTTCTCCGCTGATGCTTCCTGGCACATAGCTTGTGATGTTCCCTCTCCAGTCTACCAGTACAAGATACGGCCGGGGATCAGTGTCTTGGTTGCTCCATCAAGCAAAAACAATGTAGCTTCTCCAGCAGATCATAATAACGGCTGATTAGTAACAGTTGCGGTGTCTAGTGATGGAGGACATCAACACGGGCGGTGTCAAGAGATTAACTAAAGCCTGACAGAAAAACAAAAGCAGCCCCACTTAGGATTCTATTACACTCCATTCTAAAACAATACCAACACCTTTTAAGGCAACTTATTTAATGTATTGCACTTTAAAGAAAAGTATCTAAAAGCCACTAAGAGGTTAAACAGAAGGAGGCAGTTAAAACTAATTCCTGTGAGTTTCACTTTTTCTTCCCATCTCCTCCTGTGAAGCCTTAACCTTCATTTAAATACAGACTCAATGTTCTTAAGACCCTGCTGACATCAAACTAAATGCGGTGTAAGGTAACGCCGCACTGGTTTCACGTAAGCCGGGAAGGTAAATAAATACATTTCCTCTATACACTCTTCTTTACATTCCACCTTTAACAGCGCCTATAAAATGAAGAAAGACGTCGTTATAGAGCGAGTGTGGTGTCTGGCCATGCAGACATACTTTGTGATCCCGCTAAGATAAGCAAGATAAAAGAGTCTGAAGAACACAGTCTGAGCAGGGAAAATATTTTCTGTCTATTTCAATCTGTCCAGTCGATTGATGTGACACCGTGCACGATGACCCGCAACAAAGGGGATCAACGGAGGAGTCGAGTGGCAAATAGCGGAATTTCAACGAACAACCTTTCCTTTCACTGGGCTTTGAGCCGAGTCAGTAGGCAGCATCGATCCGCCACAAACAAGCAATATCCATCTGAAAGTGAGGCACGCCGAGGCTTGTGCATATACACGCACAAACAGAAGTACCCGTCGATATAACCTGGCCACCCACACAAAGGCCCTGCACTGAGATAAAGATGTTCAAATATGCGTGTTCCCAGAGCTGTGCCAAAAAAAAAAAGATAGATATCTTCATCAGTAGCACAATAACTGAAAATTAATGTGAAGAAAGATTTAAAAAAATTATAATTACTTTAGCACACACACACACACACACACACGCGCCTCTGTCTTTTTCCCGCACACGGAAGATGGGGTCAGATTATGGCAAAATAGTCCCTTGCAACTTGGCCTTATTCTGTGTCGTCTCTGGAAATGACCTTCCGTGTCATAGCAATTACCGTGGCCACAAGAGGGTTAGTGTGTGCGTGTGTGCGAGGGTGTGTAATGATATAAGAAGCTCCTTTGACACCGCACTCTCTAGGTCATGTGGTCTGCGGAGAGTTAGTGGAGGTCACTAGGATATGAGCTTCTAATGGAGGGGAAATGGGACTGAGAAAGAGAGGCAGCGGGATGAAGAGTACGCATTAAATGAAGGGGAAAAAAACGATGGGTTGCAAACAAAAAGAATCCCATCGCAACACACACTGCTGGGATTATGTAAGGGAACATATTGACGCAGTCGCCTATAAATCACTGCCTTTTTTTTTTTTTTACTTCATTACCTGAAATGACGCTTTAAACGGTGATTTGCGGCATGCGCTGAGTAAATCTCGTGACCCCTGAGCCCCATAAAACCTGTTGAAATGCCATCGCATGATTTCAAAAAAACTGCTTGAATGTCAACAAGGAAACTGCTAGTATTATTGTCTTTGTCCCGAGAGGAGTCCCAGAGGAAAAAGGTTTTATATAGCTTTTATTATTTCATATTCGCGCTTGTGTTACAGTAAGTAAATGTGACACAGAAGTGGAACAGCGTGTCCGATGAGATTAGACTCAGTGTCCTTGTTTATGTTAAAAATACCGGGGGTTTTTTGGTCTCTTTTTTTTTAAACACGTTATTTGTGATTCATTAGTTTGTGTGGAGATGTATAGAGTTGTTTTGAAGACTTTTTAGTGTTTTAGTGCACTTTGGCGCACATATTTTACATCTGCAGGTCACCACAGTGGATTTTAAATGAAAGAATTAACATGTGATTGATGTTCAGGCTTTCAGTTTTAATTTAAGTAGTTAAACAAACCCCAGTTTTATAAGTACCCAAGAATAACTGGACACACCAGCTTCATTTACAATATAAGGATTGTTATAATGCTTGAATAAAAGTCCTTTGCAGTAAATAAAGTCTAGAATTGTGTTAATGTCCACGTACTCATAGACCTAGCTGCATGTGTCGTGTTCTATATGTGCCTCCATGACACTTCAAGTGTGTCAAGGCCACTTCCAGCCCTTCCCTGCATTCATCCCTCGTGCACTCACACACTAAAACGCCTCTACCTCTCCAGTGGCTTGACTCTTTCGGGGTGCTGCACTCTGTGTTAAACTTCCCCTCCTGCACCCGCCTGCAAAGAGCTCCCACTAGAACAGCAAATTCACACATCTCAAGTGAAGGAGCACACATGTTCACACGCATGTACACGCCGCACACCCCAAAGCGCACGCTCGCGCGAAAGCTGGCAAAGTCGTAATAAAACCAACCCAAGCGTTTCTGTTGTGGATCCTAATCCACTTTTCCACTTAGCTAGCAAGTATATCTCTTCCTTACTTTCTCGCCTCATTCCCCCTGTCTACATTTCCATTCCCCCTCTTTCGGTGCAGGAAAACAATACAAGGGGGCTGATCTGCGTAAATGCTGATGCCGGTGGAAACTGCTTCACTGCTTAGAGCTCTTAAAAGGAGGCCAGAAAAGGCAGACCCTCTCCTTTTTTTCCAGCAGCAATAAACCCTAAACCCCAAGGCCTAAGCACCAACATGCCTATACTTGAGATCGATAAGACTTCTCCTTTGGCATCTTTAGGCTTAAAGTGCGGATTTACCAATGGTCAAAAGGTCAGGAAAATATAGGCTTTCTCAAGTTTAGTGGATTTAGCTTATGGAGTGTACCATGTGCACTTTTCCTTAAAGGTACAAACGAAGCTATAAAACAGATTTCATGCTCGGGGAACTCCTGCTATCACTGCCCATCATTAATTAAAATTTCTTAGCTAAGCAGACAGAGAAATATTACACCCAAGGTCTGCAAGGGTTGTGTTTTTTTATGTTTTACTTACATTATGCAGTTGGGAGGACTCTATTTTACACATTTATCTTGGGGGAACAACATTACAGAAAAGGATAATTGTTTCCTGTAAACATATGCTGACTGGTGCTAATATTTTAGCTGGCATTTTTGATGTGGAAAACTTAAAACTGGCAGGTAGAGTGACTGCAGACTTAAGACAGAAGCCACAAGTCGACAGAGTAATGTGGTTATTGGTGTAGCATACGTGTCTTTGCCTAAAGACAAAGTCAATGGCAGCTTTAATGTTAAGGGCATTGCTATATGCTCAGGACTATGAGGGTAGTCGGCTGTGGACCTGCTGTACCTTCGCCACATTTGTTCAGCTTAGAAAGGCAGACAAAATCCATCAAGTCACATACACAGAGTACTGTTAGATGTTCTAATCTGTTTAAAGTGGTTAGAGGAGTCAGAAGAAGTCTCTTCTATTTCCTTGCAGAGTACGATCAATACTTGATTTCTGTGGCTGATGGTGATTTTTAGGCTGGTAGAACTTCAGAAAGTGGGACATCAGCTTCTATTCTGTACATGATGACATCATTGTAAGATTATATTGCTGGAAAATTCATAAACAAACTAATAAGCATCTGTGACAGACTGGCAACCTGTCCAAGGTATACCCGGCCTTTTGCAGTATGGCAGCTGGGGTAGGCTCCAGCCCTTTCACAACTCTGAAATGGAAAAGTGGTTAAGAAAACGGATGGATAGAGTTACCAACTTACCACTAAGGCACTGCTTGAGTCAGCACAGATACTACAAATACAGTACTGTACAAACGTCTTGTGCCACCTCTAGTTTCTTTATATTTTGGGAGGAAAATGGGAAATAGGGGAAGTGATTTATTAGATAATGTACAAAGATATAAGTCAAAAACAGACTTTATACAGTGTACAGAAAGTTATATTTGGTTTTACCGCCTTTATTCTTCAACACAGTCTGAACTCTCTTAGTCAAGCTTTCTTGTCATTTCTTTAAGCAGACTTCAGGAATAGTTCTCCGGGCGTCTTGAAGGACATTCAGAGCTCTTCTTTGGATGTTTCTGCAGTTTGTTCGGTTCTCTGTCAAGATGATCCTACACTGCTTCAATAATGTTAAGGTCCGGGCTCTGGGGAGACTAATCCAAGACTGATAGTGTTTCACTGAGTGTTTTTCTATCCAAGTATGCTTTTACTGCACTGGGAGTGTGTGTGAGATCATGGTCAAGCTGAAAAACAAAGCTGTTGTCAAGCAAATGTATTATGTGGCAAATCAAAATCTGATGATACATTTCTGTGCTCATAATTCCTTAAATTTTGACAAGATCTCCAACACCACCATGCTTAACTAATGACTCTGGACACTCCCCTTACAATTCTCTCGGTTTGAACCAAACATTTCAAATTTGTCAGAGCTGTTGCCGCTGATTTTCAGTCCAGCTTTTTTACCTTCCTTACGAATGGCTTCTTGACAGCCAACCTTTCTGATGAAGCTTCACTGCAAAGTAGATGGTTGTTTCTCTTACTTAAGCAGACAACTTTCAGTCACTAGTTTGGGCTGCCATCTCTTTTTATTTAGCCACCAACTCATTAAGTTACTGACTTTTAACAAAGTGCCTAAAGATACAATTTTCAGTAAAAATGTATGAAAAAGCAGCCAGTGTCCAACTACTGCTGCTCAAGAGTGCTGGCTTCCTTGGACGGAATACAAAGAATTGAGGTGTGGCTCAAGACTTTTGCACAGTACCACCACTGCATATAGTGTGGACAGTGCAGCCAACAAACACACCAACACCAATAGTGGTAATGTCAGTAAACTAGCATATCAGCTGAACTCTTCTTCATAGAAAACTGTTCATGAAGTCATTTATTTATGACTGCCACTACACCTCAGAACATGACTTCTATAGCTTCAGTTTCGGTTGGTGCTTCTTTTGCTCCAGTACATCCATAATTTCTGTACCTTGTTTAGCTGCTCCAGGTCATTAAAGCCCTCCAGGACACTCGTGTACTTCCTTTCCCTGTATTTCCTGCGGATAAATGTGGCCCGCTGCTCCGCAGAAGCCTCCCTGTAGAGATCCTCCTCCAGGGGGAGATTAGCAGCCCAGAAACTGTTAGCATTCTTGTTCCCCACTTCCAGAAAGAGCTAAGGGGTTGCAAAACATGTACAAAGTGACACGTTTGGATGAGAATTATTTGCAGAGGTATTACTGTGATTTGAAATGATCATTGATCATCATTGCTGAACTGTCTAGCATCTTCCCAGTCTTTTATATTAGTACTAGTACAATGGATACACTTTCATATAATGGGATTAGGTAAAGACAGGAGTAACACACATGACATTTACCTCCACTAGTTCATTGCTCCAGACACTGCTGTCCAACTTCAGGCTCCGCACTTTAGAAATACTTGGCCCGAGAGAGCGGTGCTGTCCTGGCACACATGAAGACACGGTCATCAATATTAGCGCACAGCCACACAAACAGACTCACACATTCATTCCCCCATTGGGTTCACAAGGCTCTCTCAGGCTACATTTTTTTCCCTGAAAACGTCACATTAAAAAGCAAAAATAACGATTTACATATATGCACAGTGTTCTCCTCGGCGTGCTGAAACTCACACCAAATGCTGGTGATGGAATAAACAATAAACAGGCAGTTACAAGATGGAGAAACAGAGCATGACCGCGAGCTCGTTCGCTCACTCACAACAGACATATTTAGTCCCCTCAGCTCTCCTAATTGGAAATGAAAGCAGAGAACGAGGGCCATTAATTGCTAATGAATCATGAGTAATTCATTGTGTTTGTTGGTCGGCCTGTTTATTTGGGTGAACGAGAGGCTTCTGGGGTTGCTTATGGCCAAAGACAGAGCACACATGCATAATACATTAGACAGAAACATGCTGTATGTGTGAATGTGAATTATTGTCCTGTGTGTAATGGCGGATAATTTTATATTTAGATTTGGCATGATCTCATTATCGTCTTCTATTCGCTAGTAGAGCAGTTGTAAATGAAAATGAGGGGCTATGAGCTGTGAAAAGCTATATTGACACAGTTCAAGAGAACACAAGTGCGAGAAGTCTTTGAGTTATAAGCCACTTAAGAGATTTCTTTTTAGAAAAGCTAACTAGGAAGTCATTGTTTATAACTAGTCAATATTTGCATTACTTACATAGGCATAGTAGTACTACCCTGCATGTATTTTTATTATTAAGCCATGTGCCATTCATAAAAATTGTTTATCACTCACAAGGACACATAACTGACAGGTCTAATTGCTCCCAGACTGGATTTTGAATCTGATATGCCAAGACACGTCTCATTTTGGTCAGGCTTGATGTGATCAGTTGGTGCATTCATTAGAGACAAAAGGACGGTGCCACCCTTCCTGTCACAGCAGTTTTGAGTCTATACGCTTTCTTTCATGGGCATCTAGACAGAAACACATTTATACTACCTCTAAGTTTTATAGACATTTTTCCTCATCAGCACCAATAACTATGAACTCTGAAGTCATTTCATTTTAAATGTCACTTCACATGCAGTTTCATAGGAGAGTTTTAAAGTGGTCACAAACGCGACGTATGCCACGTCATCCAAACGTCAGTGGACCCAGTGTTAAATCCTGTGGAACGCCATGTTCACTTTCAAACCTCATTCGGTATCTCACTATTGGAAGCGTCTTCTGGCATGAAAAAGCGGGTAACTAAATGTTTCCCTGTTAGTTAATTTGGTGAAGTCAGATCAGGGACTTCGTCAACATCAAGTATATCAAAATTAAATGTGGTGCTAACTTAAAATCCACACCCTATCTGAAGTTATAATTAAGGTTAGGAGTTGAACATAAATGTCTTACCCTATTAAGAAAGTCTGCGTAAAGATGATCCAATGTATTATTTAAACAATATTATTAGTTCAACAAACTCAGACCTATAAACATGTCAAACTTAAAATATCGTTCTAGGAGATATCACACACCTCTGTTCTTGTTTTACTTGGCAAATCAATAAATCTGATCAAATCAGGGCCTTAGTTTGCCGCTTAGATTGATTCAATCAAATTAGTGCAATAACAATACTATTATAAGATGATTCCTCTTTATAGCAGATTAAATGTTTCTTAAGTTGTAGCTCAGTCACAATAGACTTAAAATTGACTGGTAACCTATTTGCTATTAAGAACAATCTGCTTTTTCCTGGTAATTGCTTGGACTATTTTAGCATTTGGCGACTAACTACAAGTAGTTGTGGCAACCAACTGGTCACTCAGTGGTTGACCTCTGGGCGATCACTTTTGATTTTGCACGGGTCGAGTAACGGAAGGCAACTTGTCTCCAAACGATTGCAGTGCAGCTTGGACTGACTGATAGATTTCCAACACATTACAATCAATCTAAGTCTGGCTGCACTAATAAGTTCAACTTATACTCTGGTTATATTCCTAGTGACTATGCAATTAAATCAGCAGCCTTCAGCAACTACGTCACTGTTTTTAAAGGAATGTCAGAACTTCTCTTTCAGGTCTACGAGGTTCTGGCTGAACTCTGAATGAACAAAGTTGATGTGAACCTCTGCAACCTGTCCAAGGTATACCCGGCCTTTTGGAAAAGCAAAACAGATTTGCAATTTTCACTGATTTATAACAGTGAATCAATTTGTTAATGCAAACAGATTTCTTCTAATTGCCAACTTAGCCCTATTCAATCACATCCGGACACCAAGCTGAGTCCACCTTATTGCTGCTTTATCATCATCTCCATTGTGCGCCAAAGTGTCTTCGAAAATTATATCTGACTACGAATCATTTCAAAGGAAGTGAGATTGGAAGTTCATGTTACACAAATGCACTAATTCTGGTCATGCCGCAGACTCCAACCACTCTTTTCCTTAGTGTGACTGTAGCATTAGACCCAAAAGACAAAAAAAAAAGAAAAGATAACCTTCTTCCCTGCCATTAGGACAATTTATTTTTTATTCTCTACACATCTTGAGGGTGGATACAGCAGTGGGGTCTAGGGTTACATTTAAATCTATTTTCTTCCCAATCTCAAAAAATACACTAAAATGTCAGGGATAATAACAGTCTTGGAGATCAGAAGTCCAACTTGACAAATGAAGGCCAAAGAGTAAGAGTCTGTCCCTGTGAAGGAGTGAAACATTTTTATTCGGGGTGGTTGCAGCAGAGTATTGCCATGCTACATCCACAGAGCCTTTGCAACACCACAGGACCATTTTCACTTATGTAAGGGTAATGAAGCTGAAAGAAGCATGCATGCGCATGTGCCGCCAGGTATACAGTGAGATCGTCCCATATAAATAGGCTGCTGTAAATGTCTTCATATTTCTGGTGGAAAAAAAAACAACACACAAAAAGGCATTCCCATCACTGCAGCTTTCACACACAAAAATTAAATAAAAAAAAAAATTAATGCTCAACCCACAAAGGATTTCACCCCCAATTAAAAACTTTCCCGGTGACTCCATCCACATCACACGGAGTACTTTTTCAACCTTATGTGCTTGTGTGGATTCCCCCTCCTTTTCCTCTCGACCCCTTCACTCAGTGACAAGTCATGAGGAAGCAGAGCAAGACAATGAACCCTGTAATTTCACATTGCCATGGCAACTGTTGCCAGTGGACATGCCTACAAGTTGCATCTTGGTTTAAAGAAGTTTATTATATTATATGTGTGAAGCACAGCGTAAGGTCTTTGAAGCACTGGCATTTCCTATGGTAGCTGTCTTGGGTAATAAGCATAAGGACACAAAGAAATGAGTGCATAGATGGAGAGGTGAGTTAATTTAATGAGGAAATAAAATAAGAGAGAAATGTGGGATTGACCTGAAGACTGTAAAATCGGGGCATGGTCACCATGACATCAGCAAAGTGAGTCATACACAACCATCAAGAAGCCTTGATCTTAGCATTTTGCATAATATTACCTTGGGTTTTTGGAGGTAGAGGAAAAAGTGGATTGCTAAGTTATTACATCTGTAGAGTATGGGTGCATTGCACAGGCAAAAATACAGACAAATTACATGAAATACACTCAAGATGTGGCCAGACATCTTGGAAGGGTGTTAGCTCATTATATCAGACAGTAAGCCATGCTGTTTATCAGACAACTGCACCAGTCATCCAGGTCATGGTGATCTAAGGAGCCTGGAAAGAAAAGTGACTGGACTTTAAGTTTCACCTCTCATCTGAGAACCTTCTTTAGTTCTAAAACCAAATGACCAAACTACCCAAGAAGTAATAACCTCACTGCTCACATCAACTCAGTGGACAGAAACAAAGTTCACCAGGGAAGATACAAAGGATAATAGTTTCTCATTTCTGGACTGTGCTGTCCTCACTGAGGAGAATGGAAACCTCAACATTGAAGTTTACCAGAAGTAATGGTAGTTGGAGTAATCAAGACCCCGCAACACAGGGCATAAAACGTTCCCTCTAAGCTTGAAGGGAAAGAAAAGGAACATACATGTAGAGAAAGCTCTTAAAATATGTGGTTATCTTGATTGGACTTTCATCAAATCAGAAAAGATGCCCAGTAAACAAGGTCAGACACCAACTAGGGCGAATCAGAAGGACAAACAGAACACTGTCATTCCTTATGTAGCAGGTTTATCAGAGAAACTCAGGAGAATTTTCTCCAAGCACGACATCCCCAGTGTATATCAGACACAACTATAGACTCAGACAAAAAATGGGTCATCCCAAGGACAAAACTCCCAAACACAAACTAAACAACGTAGTGTGTGCAGTGCAGCGAGGAGAGCTCAGAACTCAAGATTGGAGAGACCAAACAGCCACTTCATAAAGGAATGGCACAACATAGAAGAGCCACCTCCACAGGACAAGATTCAGCTGTACGTCTGCATCTAAAGGACAAAGGTCACTCTTTCAAGGATGTCAATGTTCCCATTTAGGACATCGAAGACAGATGGTTTGAAAGAGGAGTGAAAGAAGCCATCCATGTGCACAGTGAACGATCATCCTTGAACAGAGGGGGTGGCTTACGACACCAACTGTCTGCCACCTACAATCCAGTTTTGAGATCCCTTCCAAGGCGCCTCTACAACCACTCACATCGTGTGTCAGTTCATCTCAGTAAGTCACATGATAAGGCGAGGTAAGGTCCCGCAATGGTTTTACCCCAAACCTCTGCTGATAATGACCCGCACCCTTTTTCTCACCATGGCTCATTAGATACAGCACATGTGAGTCAACGGCCCTCTAAAGATACAACTCCAACTAGAGCTGGAGAACTCTTAGACCCAAAGAAGCTTCTCAGATGAAACGCCTTCAAGAAACTTCTATCCAAGCTCCTTAGATTACTTGAGAAATAAAAGTTTTTGTTGTGTTTTTTAAATAAAAAAATTCAAAGATAATTAGAAGACCGGGCAAGGTTATCTTACAAAGTGTTCAAGGTAGACACGGACAGTATCCAAAAACACCTTTGAACAAATGCATGTATTACTGCATTTGTGATTAGATAACACTGTAAATATTAACAGAGAAAAAAAATCACTATTATTAATTTAATACTCTCTGAATATAACAGACCCTATCAATTCTTAAAGTGTATGTAAACACAGAGAAAATACTGCATTTTTAAGCTGTTCATATCAAAGACTGAAGCTGCAGACTATTAAAATCCATTCAGTCTTAGCATGAAAAGACGAAAAGACAATCTGGGATCATTTTTACCATTAGCCTCCTCATTACTTCTTTCCTCTTCCTCTTGTTCAGCATTTCTCTTTATTGTGCATGACAATAAAGCAGATCGCTAATTAAAAGCATGAGCAGTCACTGGTATTCCAAATGGACCACAGCCCAATTTAAAATAGAGCACAGTGTGAGGACAGCTTCCCTCGTAGCAAATATCCACCCCTCCTGCTCCCGGCGTGCCGACAAAATGTAATATTAAACACCTCAGCAAATGAAATCATTTAAGGCTGTTTGAAAGGAGATGTTGGATATCTGATGTGTACCAATTACACAGGCTTTGCAGAGGTGAGGTGAAGAATTGCATTAAATTGCATGACTCTGGGAGAAATCTGGAGGGGGAAGATGGGGTGTATAGGCATGCACACACAAATAAAAAAATAAAGAAAAGCACCTACACACCAACAAGATATCCCTGCACATCAAGCATGGCTGCCACGTCTCTCTAATCATGTTTAGCGGGTCAAGAAGGAGTTCGGGATCCCCCAAGTTCTCGCCTGTGGCTTAATCTTTGTTGTCATTTCATCTGAGCCATCCAGTATAGCCAAACAGATTAGAGAGGCCAGAGGCCAGACGCCAACTCCCATATGTGGCTTATCACCTGAGATCTTATTCCAAAAGAGCCTCCTGGTCAGAGCACACGCTCAGACAGGCATACACATCAGGCCACACATGCACAGAGAGGAGCCGAGCACTAACATGCATCCCTTTTTAATTTGGCACGTCTCTGAGCATCAGTCATAACTTTTTACACGCGGCGTGGTGTTTATTTTTTGTTTCTTACCATAAGTTATGACTCCAGAGAGACAAGAGGAAATAATATTCTGCTGGCATTTACAGCTGGTTTGCTTTGTGCCTTGCTTGTGAGCTTTTATAGCCACATAGTGCAAACTTGTGATTCCCCCCAAACACACATGAATGGTTGCACATGTGTATGTTTTCTCCTACTGAAAATGCTACGTCCAGATAAACAGTCAACTTTAAGGATAGTAAAAAGCACATCGGCTGCTTATTAACCATTTTAAAGCATCTATTAAAGTCGTCATTACTTTATTGCAGAACTCTACATTATAAGAGTTCAAGTCAACAAGTTCATTTAACTTTATTTATAAGAAGTATTTAGATAAATCATTTTTAATTTGATTTTTTTCATTTAAATGAGTAAATTATAAAATTGTCTTAACACTGAAGAAATGGGTAAAATCGGCTGTACCAAAAGCCTCCTTGTGCTTGTTTTGATCAACAGCAGACTGCTATGGTTACCTGTAGCTTGCATGGAAGACTTGTCTGCAAACACTGGCCAACTACTAGCCAAGTGTGGTGCAAACCAGAAACAGAGAGGTCAAAGTAAAAACTGTGCCTGACCCCTGTAGTCAACATGCTTCAGAAAGCACAACTTTTATGTTGAAGGCCTTTATGGTCATGCAAACTACAGGTGAGTGTGCCAACCTGCTGGTGGCCAAAGCGATTTCTATGAGGTTTTCGTTTAGCAGTTTCACCTACAGATTGCCAGCAACCTCCAACGACCACTCGCCAACTGGTCAAGGAATATACTTGTTTCCCAAGTGAGTGAAGGTCGCTCACTGGTATGTAGGCCTAACAAACCAGTGAGCGTTTATGGGGCCTCACTAAGGCCTTAGAAAGACTTTTAATCATAATTAATTTATAACAACTTCCACATCTGCTACTGATACGCAGTATTTAAATAATTACTCTACAATGACTAATAGGGGTTAAAACCACTGTGCTGCTGATATGTGTGTAATTAAACAATTAGTTATTGGCAAATATACCTAACATAGGGTGTTACCATTAATCTGCAGTAGTTGTTGCATTAGCTGACAAATATTACAAGGCACAGGGCTTGTTTCCATCATATTTCCCAGAAAAACATTTAAGATTATTTGATTCACAGCCATAGAAAACATTTTTATGTGTTTTCATAATTCAGCTGCTTAAATATAATAATCCAAGGATCCATCCTCATAGATGAGGAATCGCAGCTTTTAAATTAAGCCTGTTGATGGGCGGCTTTCATTGGCACAAAACTGAGACTCTGAAAAACATTCATGTACATTATGTTTATTATTAGCATGCCCCCCTCCATCCAGCATGTGTGTGTCTACACAAGAAGCAGAGAAGCATACCTGTGTTCCTTACCTGTGCATTTCTTACAGATGACCACACCCAGATTGACCGACGCCCACTCCGGCTGCGGCGCGCGGCAGTCGGCGCAGCTTCTATTGGCCTCTTTAAACCAGATCTTCTCTGCCACTTCATAGTCGTAGAGTGTCTCGGCAATCGATTCTTTCACCGCTTCAATCCACTCCTGCTTCTCCCGTTCTGACTCGGCCGTGAAGCTGCAACAATTGATTTTTTTATATTTTTTTTTTTTGCCCCCACCCCAACACATACCTCACTGTTATTGATTTGATTTGAGAGAGCAATTAAACAGCACAGTATCGCTTGGCAGGGGTTACGGGGGTGTGCAGTATTTGGAGTAGTTTTGGAGGGGACCGGGGGTGCTAAATGTGTATGCCTACGTGTGATTGCAATAGATTTGGTGAAATTGATAGGGGGGAGGGAAGGGGGCAGGTAAATCAATATGTCTCACCATGCACCTCTAAAATCTATAAAGTTCTAATGCAGGAGTGTTTTTTTCCCCCCTTTCTTTCAGGATATTATTTCTACATTAGACCCAGAAAAGTTAAAAAGTGCTGATGGGAAAAAAAAAGGATAAACATAACCCATTTATAGCTTCAATATATATGTATATATTTTTAAATCAGATTTACACTGTTGCTCCAGCACGATTTGGAGCAAGAGCTCTGTAAATCTGAAAAAGGCTAGGCAAAGGAGTGAGATGAGCTTGGCAATACAGATGGTGCTCCTTCTGTTGACATGGGTGCAGTAAGCGAAATTACTGCCACATGATGGCGATTTGTTAGTTGTAGCCAAGCGCATTAAGAATATTTGGGAGAATACATTACTAACAGTCACTTAGGTTTACATGCACTATAATAACCCGGCTACAATGATGAGATTAATGAGATTTCTCCAACTATTGGTCTTATTTCAGAGGGATTGCTCATACTCAAGAGGCCTTATATGCAAGCACTGCATGTCATTTGCAAATATTTCAATCTACTCATGTTGCTCTCATTAATTTTCCAAAGTAAATAGATTTTTTTTTGGGCGCGCACACACACACACAAACACACAGTATAAGTCCGTTACTACCTAACAAGCCCTCATGCAGACATCTTGCAGGGACAGAAAGCAGAGGTTTCCAATGAGGAAGACAGTGTTTCATTTTGCGTGCATTTTGAAGAAGAAGCTGCTGAAAGTAATGACTATCTCAGTATTATCTAAATGTATTCCAAATGTGCATAACAAGCAACCTGTGTGCACGTATAAGCTGAAGCAGGAGCAAGCAAGAGACAGAGAGACAGGCAGGGAGAATGACAGATAGACAGAGATATAAAACTGAGGGGAAAGAGACGGAGAGCACCCTAGCTTGACTGAAAGAAGCACTTAGACAAGAGAAATGGGACCAGCGGTCTCCATGGTAACCTGGCAACCAGTGTAAAGTAAGACTCAAGATGTTGAGTCAGAGGGGTGTGGGTGAGGGTGGGTGGGGGAGTGTCGAGGTAAGGGTAGCCTGGAGCAGAGGATGTGCACCAGGCCAGCCTCGCCCAAGTAACCCAGGCGAGATCGATAGGTTGATTGGGTTCAGCTGTTCTGTGCCCACTGGTCTCTGCCCGGGGCCCATCAAAAGAGATGACTGCTCACACTGTCTGCTCAACTGCAACACGGCCCCAGAAAAACCACAAAGGGACCGATGGGAGGCGGCACAGGAGTATGTGAAGGTGTCAGAGTTTTTTCAGATATGAAGTGAAGGCTGGGTCAAAGGCCACAAAACAGACTGCAGCTTTAAGGACAACAGACGTTAAACGGAAGGAAAATAAAATAATTTTGAATGGAAATTTGAATCATACACCTAGTGTTCTGTTAATGAAGACCTCCAAAAATGGATGAGATTGAGAGGTTATACTGCTTTACAAGCTAATGGTAAATAATTTCTTGCATCTGCACTGTAAGTTGGACATTTTACAAGCAATCTTGTATTCTGATGAAATCTGTCAATTACCCTTACCAGCAACAGCTACAACCTTATATCCTCTGGTGCTATTTCATGCTGCTTCCATGTAATTATCTGGCCATTTAGAAAAGCTGAAAGTCAAGTCGAGGGCCTTAAATCACACCCTTAGGCAGTAATAATAGCAAGTAGCTACTAAATACTTGCTATTATTATTGCAGAAGTGCTTTTCACACAGTCAAGCGTGGCTACATTCAGTGCTTTGCTCAAATAAGGTTCAAAAGTTGAGTGTGAAACAAAGGCTATCATAGTTAGCTGAAACTAACCTAAAGAAGAAAACTAGGTGCGCAAAACCTAAACCTTAAAATAAATAAAGACTACATTCCTGAGAAACATGAACAAACAATACTGGTAAAACCAAACTTTCTTAGTAACGCTAATGCTAGCTAGCTAGCCAGTTAGCAATGTTCTATCTCTTTTTGGTGTCATGGCAACCCCTTTGGGAATAAATAGTGTAGAGTGCTGGCAAGTCGTGAAAATTCTGCACAGGTGGCTGTTCAGCCATAAAAAAGACAGATGTAGCCCTTGCGATGTTGTCCACCAGTTTCTGGACTCAATTCATATTTTAAAGCCTAGCATTTTGTCTGTAGCAATGTTGGTTATTTGGAGCTATGAATTACCATATTCGGACGAGAAATTGGATTTCTAACTTATCAGCTAAGCCTACTAAAGTCGGTCAGCATGCTGAATCCATACACTGTAAGGATGGGATGCTCAACTATATGGAGAATAGCACTGCGCCATAAATCTGAAATCCTAATCTTTCCATTCTAGTGCTTTCCGTCCAATTGTCATGAAAGTTTTGGGGTTGTTACTTTAAAAAGAGGCCATACACACAATCTTTTAGTATTTACATATGAACACAAAGCCAACAACACAATGCAAAGCTGAAAACCAGCTCAAAATTACTTCAAAGCAATCGGCATGTTGATTCTATTCTAGAAAACATGGGGGGGAATTCAGGCTACAATACGATATCGCCACTCATTACAGTTGTAGACCAGGGGTGGGGGAACTCCAGGCCTCAAGGTCTCCTGCAGGTTTTAGATGTGTCCTTGATCCAACAGTGCTGATTTAAATGGCTAAATTACCTCCTCACCATGTCTTGAAGTTCATCCAGAGCCCTGGTAATGAACTAATCATTTGATTCAGGTGTGTTGACCCAGAGTGAGATCTAAAACCAGCCCTTGAGACCTGGAGTTCCCCACCCCTGTTGTAGACTGTTCCACCATTTTCCTCCCCGCTCAGCATGAAGTGAAAGAAAAATGTGACGACTTTCCAGTCAGTTGTCAGCACGCACACACTCCTCCTCTGGGTTCTGGCTTCACTATATATAAAGGGAGAAACCTCATTAGTCAGCTCACCATCACCTGTCCCTCCAGCCTCCTTGGCACTGCCCTCTTGAGCTCACTGCCCCACTCCTACCCTGCAGCTGAGTCAGGAACCACACCTCAAATTGGTATTATGGGGAAAACTAAACTCTTTTTTACAACAGGTTACAAACGTACTTTTTAAAACTGCAAAGTAGTGTACTGCAGTTAATCATAGGATTAACTTGCTTTTGGAGCCAGGCTCAAACAGCTATAGGTTCTACATTTTTAGTCACTTCAAGGTTGACATTATTTCCACCCGTGGAAGTGAATCCTGAAGATGGTCGAGTCCATGGAAATATATAAATGTTTTTATAGAAATTTACTGAATGTTGGAAAGAATGGTTAATAAAATTGGTGTAAATACATCACTCGTGTGCCATCTTCTTTTCCAATAAAGCTTAATGCCGCTCACGTCCGTCGATTAAATCTAAGCTAAGAGACATTTAACTAGGAAATTAGGAAAACAATTTCTCTGAGATATAGATAGCAAACGATTTCTTTGTCAGGTACAATGACATCCTAGAGTCTTCATGTTACTCTGAGCACAATGTGATATTTTTATAATTGGGTTTGTAGTCTTTATAGTAAGTTAAGCAGCTCATCTAGCTCCATATTTCATCTGAAATACAGAGTGAACAAGAAGAAAAGTCAAGCAATTCCATTAAATAAGACCCTCTAACACTAAGTTTCAAATGCCCTACATGGCCTTCATGGTCCGCTCTCTGAAGTCAGCTTCAAGATTCCTCATTCACCCAAGGATTTAATTTGACTCCCCACTCATGAAAATGTATTTTACACAAAAAGCCCTATGACTATCAAATTTGGTAATCCAATTTTGAAGTCTAGTGGCTCAGTTTCTCTGGCTTGTTATATGAGAAATAGTTTTTGTTAAACATAGCACTTATATATTGAGTAACAGCCAGTTTAAGATGGAGAACCTCAATATTTCTTGAAAAATTCATCTGGCCATGACAACTAGTCATTCCCAGAGGTGTTTATTACGGAGAGAGTGATGCGCTTTTAACTGTGGATAATCAATACAGCCCCTATGACCTTGACAAGAAACCAACAAACATCGCTTCTTAGAGTTGCCCTCCTTTACAGAGAAAATCCCACAGAGCTCATATCCTGCAGTCTAAAAATGTATTTAACCACCCGTCACTGACACCACTAAATTGACTGTGTTATTCTACATGAGTGACATCTATCATTATGTCCATCTGCAATGTTATTAATGAACAAAATCACTAAGAGATAATAATAATAAAAAAAAAAAATCACCCATCTGTGCCCAATTTGAGGACTTTAGTTTTTGGTTTCATTTAGCTCGGGAAAATCACAAATCCTGTTTTCATTTCCTAAAATGATCTGCAATAGAGAAATGTCCAACTCCTTAAAAGTCTTTTCATTTGTACCCCGAAGACCTTATTGGGCCTTCTGTACCATAAGCGACTGCATCGGTTCATAAAGGCCTGTAGCTCTGCTGAAGTCCAGCCCAGAATGCTTTGATAGTAGCTTCAGCTCATCTGTATTTTTTGGCTTTGATGTGTTTCATCTTGACAAAAGAGCAAACCATGTGGTAGCAGTTTTGGCAATATCTCCATACAGCTTGTTGGAAGATGGAAACGTTACCCAAAACTTGGCAGATTTTGCGTTGGCTTTGGACACGATGAAATGCAGTAGACCAACCACCAAGAACACCAGCAGATAACACAGTACCCCAGATCATGACAGGTTGTGGAAACTTCATAATGGACGTCAAAAATCTTGGATTATGTGCCTCTCAGCTCTTCCGTCAGGTTCTTGGACCTTGGCTTCAAAATTAAAT